TGTTATTTTTAGGGCTTGATTAGTGAATTTTTGCATTGAGACAGAAAAGGTTTCTATCTCAAATATCTTTTCAGTATAACCTTCTCTCCACCACCCTTGTGTAAAATTTGTTGCTGTGACTGTTGAAGGTAGTGGCCTCTGAGGAGCTTATGTGGAAATCCCTTGAGCAGGAAACTGGCCCAAACATCATTCCCATTTAAAAGGGTGGGGGGACTTCGATGGCAGTTACTGCGTTTTTAATATATTAATGAAAACTAGCATTCGTCTAAGCCGTAAGTTACAGTTGTTATTGCATGTTGTTGTATTACTCTGCTTTACCAGAATTTCCTATGCTTAGATTATGTTAAAAGCTTTGATTATTTTCACTGTACTTTTGGCTTTGGGTGACATTTAATTTAATTTTGTTATCGTTTCCAAGCATCTCAACTAAGAAATGTAAAACATTGGGAGAGATGTGAGTAGGTAAAAGGTATTTTAAAACTTTTGCTGGTAAGAGATCAAGTAAGTTAACAAAGTCTTAAATCTACATAGGATTCAGGCCAAATCCAGGCCTCTGCCTGGTATTCTTTTCACTAGACTATACCATGTAGTGAGCAAACTTTAACTGGATAGACACATTCCTGAATTTAATGTAAATGGATCACATTCGGGAACCAACATATAAATGATCCTACAGGCTCTTCCTCCTAAATACTACTATTCTTTCAAGAACTGAGTCCCTTTTTTCTTTGAAGTTACCTTAATACCTGCCTTCACATCCCCACAGAGCTCATTTTAGCTTGCTCTCATTGCTCTGAGTCTTCAAGGTTACCCATCTGTTTTATGACACTTCGTTTTTTTGCTTTGTATATGTTGTTTAATTACTTATATATTTCATCTTCCCTGTTGGATTTCTAATTCATTGTGGAAGGGTCTTGGTTTGATTCCCAATATGCTTTCCAATTTTCAGGACCATAGGTGACAAATGCTTTATTATAATAATAGAGAACACTAAAATGTTCTTAATAGAAGTTCCATGTAAATAATATTTCAACAAGTGCTTTGTTCTGCTTTCCTTTTTTTTTTTTTTTAAAGTTAGTTTACCTTTAGTAATTTAAGATGGGTTTTGGGGGCTTCCCTGGTGGCACAGTGGTTAAGAACCCGCTTGCCAATGCAGAGGACACGGGTTTGAGCCCTGGTCCGGGAAGATCCCACATGCCGCGGAGCAACTAATCCCATGTGCCACAACTACTGAGCCTGAGCTCTAGAGCCCGCAAACCACAACCACTGAGCCCGCGTGCCACAACTACTCTAGGCCCGTGCGCCTACAGCCTGTGCTCCGCAGCAAGGGAAGCCACCACAGTGAGAAGCCTGCATACCGCAACAAAGAGTAGCCCCTGCTCACCACAACTAGAGAAAGCCCGCGCACAGCAACAAAGACCCAAATGCAGCCATAAATAAATAAATAAATAAACGTATAAGATGGGTTTTCATCCTAAGACTCAAAGTACCTTAGGAAATAAGACAGTCATACATATAAGAACATTAAAACTGTTAGAGTTCATTGCGGTGTGCAATAGACAGGGAAAATGTACCAAGGAATTGTGATTCATTATGAACCTCGAAGGATAGATAATATAGGTAAAGGCAGAGAGAATGGGGAGGGCATTCAAATGGTGACTTGGGGGAGCAAGACTTGGAGATGGGAAAGTGCCTTCAGTGATGAAAGCAGGGGATGAGGAGGTGATGGTAGCAGCAGGAGGTGCCTATCAGACCCTCTGTGGTACCACTTCTCTTGAAAGCCAAGTCCATTTTGTGGGCAAGGTTGTTCTTGATGCTTTACCTACCTGCGCATGGTGGCTGGGCTTGTCTTCTGACCTTCCTCGTGAAACTCTTCTAAAGCCCTAAGGTTCCCAGTTATTCCTTGCTAATAAGTCCAGTGCATAGTTTTCAACACTCATCTTCTTAAAAATAAAACATAATCACTTTCTAAAACCTAACACAGCTAATTCTGAGTACCTTGGTGGTAAGACCTTTCTTCCTTCCCAATTACGTGCTTAGGTACCTCATCTTTGTGGGAAGTATTCACTGAATGCATTCATTCAGTAAATATGAGTGGCTACCATGTGGCAGACATTATTCTAGAGATTTTATACATTAGCAAATATGTGTGACACCAGGTGGTGGAGACAAGAACCTATACTCATGGGATTAATTACTCTAATGGAAGGAGACAGGATAAATAAGTATGTTAGTTGCCCTGACAAGCCTTCAGAAAAAAGTAAGGCAGAGAAATAGAGGTGTTAATCTTAAGGTCAGGACCAGACTGCAGAGGAACCTGAGTAGGAATTGTCCTGAGTGTGTTCAAGGAAAAGCCAAGAGTCATAGGATCGGAGTGCAGTGAGCCTAGGGCGAAAGTGGGACAGGGGAGCTTGGAGAGGCTTAGAAGTCAGGGACGACAGATTGTCAAACTCCAGATCTTATTTTGGCTGAGGTCGGAAGCCGTCGGAGGGTGGGAAAGGAAGTTCTGTGATCAAACTTAACATTTTAAGAGGATCACTCCAGCTGCTATGTTGAGAATAAAGTGTAAAGTGACAAGGTTGGGAGCAGGAAGACCACTTAGCAGCTTGAACAGAGGTGTTTGGTAATCAAGGTTGTTGATGGATTCTGGGTCTATTTATAATATAGAGCTGGCAGAATTTGTCAAGGGATTGGATTGTATGTGTGTGAGAGAGGAGATTTTTGGCCCAAGCACCTGAAAGAATTGAGATTTACTAGGGCTTCCCTGGTCGCGTAGTGGTTGAGAGTCAGCCTGCCGATGCAGGGGACACAGGTTCGTGCCCCGGTCTGGGAAGATCCCATGTGCCGCAGAGCAGCTGGGCCTGTGAGCCATGGCCGCTGAGCCTGCGCTTCCGGAACCTGTGCTCCGCAACGGGAGAGGCCACAACAGTGAGAGGCCCGCGTACCGCAAAAATAAAAAAAAGAAAGAATTGAGATTTACTGAGATGGGAAGACTTGGAGAGGAAAACATTTGGGTCGGAGGAGATGGGAAGAGGAATTGGAAGTTTAGCTGGAGATTCCAGTTAGTCATCTGAGTCCAGATGTCAGGTAGGCATTGAATTTATAAATCTGGAGTCTAAGGAAGAGGAGATCCAAGCTGACTATTTGGCATTTAAGATTTTCTTCATATATATTTTGCAAAATTCTTGTTGTATTTATTGTAATAATTTTTTAAAATTTTAGTTGCTACTGTAAAAGAAGTTTTTTCTTTCATTATACTTTGACTAGGTTTTGCTCATGTTTGCATAGGCTATTGATGCTGGCATGTATCATTTTGTGCCAAGCAACCTTGCTGAATTCTCTTAATTTATAAAAGCTTTTTCATAGATTCACTGATTTCTCTTCTCCTTTGACTGTGGAATTTTACCAAACCCTTCAATTCTGAGAAGTACCACTTTCTTTCATGGCTTGATTTGCTTTCCTTTGCCTAAAATATCAATTATTTCTTGTCTTTTCGTGTGAGTTTCTATTCATTCCCCCAAACCCAACTCATGTTTCCCATCTTGTCAAACATTTCTGGATTCCTAGGAAAGTTTCTCTTCCTGTGAGCTGCAGCTGTACCATCTGCATACCTGTATTAGAACAGTCATCAAAATTTATTCTAATTTTGTATATATATTTTAGTCCTTTTGGGGAAGGAGAACTGGGTCTTACTGTCTTTACATCCCCAGTGTTTAGCTGAATCTGCTACATAGTTGTCTGTTACAGGATAAATGTTTGTTGAATAGATGAGTAGTCAATTTGGGCAGATTAAAAACATTTGGAAATTGGATAAAGTTTTTCTTCATATAGATTTTATAAACTTGTTATATTTATTGAAACACTTCTAAAAATTCATTTTTGTCACTATTGTAGAAGAAATATTTTCTAAAGTATAATATAATTTTGCAGTTATACTCCTAAAAATTAAAGTCCTATTATTTTAGAAAATTAATGTAGGAACCTTGTTTCTGTTTTTTCATGATGCTGAGTGCACAAATGTGCTTGGATTTGTAAGACCTTAAATTTTGAAAATACTTAATGGCTGGATATTATGTATTTACTTACAGAGAAGGCCTTTTATTTTGCATCGTTTTTATTTTTGCCTAGGAATCATCAAAGCATTGAACTGGCCATGTGTAGAATGTCTACTACTGTTTCTGTTATAAATCAGTTAAGGGGTTGTCCTAGTAAGTGACACTGAAACATATTTATTAGAATAATTATTTGTAACATTTTTTATTGAAATAGAAATATACTTTATCAAATAACCAATCACAGTTCACTGTCCATTGCTAAGCACAGTGGGAAATACAGCATGCTTCTTTCTTACAGGGAGTAATAAATGTAGGCAGAGAGATGAAACTGGTACCCAGGGGAAAAAAATGGGGAAAATGTTACATTTGTGTAATCTGTTGTATGTGCCTTGTAGGGAGACACTTGATATAGGGGGGTGGTAGGAGGGTGTTTTCAGCTAGATTTTGAAGCATAGGTAGAGTTTAATCTGGATAGAGAGGCAGAATACACTAGACTTGAAAAAAATAGAATGAGAGGCACAAAGCTAAGAGCTATTAGGAGGTGTGGAAATGAGATACTGATTTCCATCCTAGGACAGTAAGAATTTTTATAATTTGTTCCACCAAAGAAAATGCAGTACTTTTGCTTCGCTGTAGTGAACACACATTAATTGAATTTAATGAAGGCCGATATCAGATCTCTTTTGTTACCATGTTTCTTTGTATTGCCAAGTAATGCAAGCATATCGTTGAAAACAAACAAATAGGCTGATTTTAAAAGGCAGAAAAAAAGTTTACTTAATTCCATCATCCCTAGTAAGCTAACAGTTAACATTTTAGTGCGTTTTTTTCCCTAGGTGTGAAAAGCATACATACACACATTTTGTGTTTTTATTAAATGAGATCCTATTAGCAAATTATTTTTAAAATACGTATATTTTATTCTCTGTTTTGTTTTTGTTTTAGGAGAAAACCAAAAGCCAAGGCACCGCTTCCTCCAGCTGAGACCAAATACCTTGATGCCTCTTCAGTTGATGATTCTGTAGAATCTTCTGCTTTTATCATGGAACAGAAAGAAAACACGACAGATAACGATATTGAACTCTTGGTCGTTCTACCTGGGGATATTATCAAATCTACTACTGTTCATGGCAGGTACGATCAAGTGAAGGAAATACCAGGACTTCCCTTTCTTCTTCTGAAATTGAAACCCTCTGTTGTAGACGTCTTGATTTTTTTCTTTGACAGATACTTTATTCATCACTCAGTTTACTTATCTATTAAAAAAATAAATGCTAAAAGGTATTAAAATTTTTATAACAATGCTTTAAATATCAAATCTATGAATTCCACAACCCCAGTGAAGTGACTCTTGGAATTTGGAACTATTTTACATTTTGTTAGTCATTAAAAAAAAAAATTTTTTAATAGCCTTTTCCAGAGGGACAGTCATCAGTTTCATTGATTTTCTGAGTCAAACTTACAAAGCAAGCCAGGGACCCATAAGAAAACTCTTTCC